CAAAGCTTATAGCCTCTTCTACTATTAACCGTAATTGAAGCGACTGACGGACGGACAGATAGATAGATAGCTAGACTGATGTAGCTCCTTAATATTGTATTGAAGGAACAGACTTCCTCCTAAACATCACAAGAAGAACATAGTATCAGTATTTCACATATTACAATTGCGACAGTTAGGCAAGAACTAGAGAACAGATTGCAAAAGACTGCCAGTTTGGTTATGAGCATGGCAAACTGGTCTCTTTCCCTTACTTGATGCTTTGCTGTCTCTTTATAATGATAAAGAGAAAGTTTAGATATGTTGGATTTTATATTCTCACAGCGATAATCAACCATCTTCCTGGATGTGACGACTTGTGGTCTGTTAGTTTAAAGAAGTTCACTGGCCTTTCTGGGGAACGCAATGCCTCCATCTTCAGAGTTTAAGATATGCTAAGCAAGTACAAAGTTCAGTTTTTCCTTGAACATGGAGACAGTACATTCCTCTGAAGCTTCGACGAACTTCTACCGTCATATCCCAGAAGATCATGATATTCAAGGACTAGAAACCGTCATATCCCATAAGATGATACTCGAGGATTACAATACGTCATATCCCAGAAAATAATGACATTCAACACTACAGGCCGTCATATCCCAGAAGATAATTATATTCAAGGATTACAAGCCGTCATATCCAGAAGATCATGATATTCAAGGACTACAAGCCGTCATATCCCAGATGATATTCGAGGACTACAAGCCGTCATATCCCAGAAGATAATGATATTCGAGGACTACAGGGCATCATATTCCAGAAGATAATGATATTCAAGGCCGTGATAATTCAAGAGCTCCTTTTACGAGTTCGGTGAAATTACTCCCCACTAGGTGCTCTTCTGATCAACCTACGGCAGAGAGTACGACAATACATTTCACGAGGCGTAGACTTTTGATGGAGGACTAAATGTCGGAGGCTAGTTGTGCTTAGCACTTATGACTGCACGAATTCTAACTAACGTATGAGCCCGCTCGTCTTAAAGATTATATATAAACCCCAACCTCCGTCGCCTCTAGTCCCCAAGCGAACTATACCGACCGAGCGACCGCGGCTTGTCGGGGAAGTTAGTGCCAACTTTAGCAGATAGAAGGCGTCGCGTGGTCAGCGTAACGGATCCCCACGGCCGTTAATCTCTCTTTTCTAGACCAGAAAGATTATATATACGTGAGAGAAACATCGATAACTTTACGGTATGTACCTGTAATCATTCATTTATAACAATAATAATCTCATTCTTGTGATTTATTCAATTTCTCTCCCTTAACATGGGGCGTTTTTTACTGTAAATAAACAAAAAATTAATAACATTCATCTTTAATATAAATTATAATAGCATAAAGGAATAAGAACAAAAGGAAACGCAGCAGGTACAGAGAACACAACTGATAATCTCCCTAGATACTGTGCATCAGAAACCACAACAATGGCTGACGATTAAAGTTCATTACTATTATGATGATCATATTTTGTTTCTAAAAATACTCGTAGTTCATCAGCCGTAATGTAAGCAAGCAGAAACTGCCAGACAGCAATCATGTAAGATTCGTCATTATTTCTCTCGCATTTTCCAAAGTCTATTCAACGCATTACCATAATAAAGATCATCACAAAACTCCTGTTGTCTTTTGATTCTTTTCCGTTTGTATCATGAGTGGCAGAGCAGTTAAAATGGCTTGCAGCGGTTGTATCCTTTCCTAACCAAATATAACTTATTTATTATGAGATATAATCTTACTTTAAATTGTGATTAATTTTCGTAAATGGCAAAATAAATTGACGCACATACAACTAGGCGATGTATCTTTGAGGCTGAGTGACTACAAGCCCTTAACTTTTCAGACATAAGCTTCCCAATATTAATGTCCAGAATCCATTTTATTACCTAAAGGCAAAAGGTTATATCATGACTTATTTCTCAAAATTCATAACTACAAATAATGGTGCATTTCCAAATTACCAGAACTTTATATGAACAGATATTATTTTGGTATGCATGGAAATACTGAGGAGCTGGGATAGCTCAGTCGGTATAGCGACTGGCTACTGGCTGGACGACCCAACCCCCTATCCAATGGGTACCGGGGGGCTCTTTCCCCGTTGGTAAAGCGGCCGGGGCGTGAAGCTGATCACTCACCTCCAACCAGTGCCGCGGTCAAGAAACTGTGGATCTGTACATCCACTCCCCCATACGCCTTTATGGCGTATTGCTGAATTAGTTAAGTACAGGGAGAACTTTACCATTTTTACTTTGATACATGGAAATATTGGGCCTGTCACAGTAGCCGCGCGGTCTAATGCATGAACTGTCTTCGCTCACTTGGACGTTTGGATCGTGGGTTCGAATCCCACTCAGGGCATAGATATTTGGTGTGTGTATGCGTTTATTCTGTGTTTGTGTTGTCCTGTGTTTAGGTAGTGGCCTTATGACTGGCTGATCACTCGTCCATAGAGTCTTATCGTCTGTGTAAAATGATTACGGAACCGAATAAGAGGCCAGGGCTCTGAATGGACTGGAAGAGCCACTGAAAAAATGTAAATATTGCAAGGAAAAAGGATGGAACTGGTTGTTGTCGTGTCCAACGGATGGCTTTGGTGTTACTGGCAAGGCGCTTTCTGGGACTTTCACAGGCTAGCTAGTTATGGAAGAATTCGCATCATTCTGGGAAAATTAAGATCACATTGAATACAAAGGAAAATCACGATGTCTGAATCATGAAGGATTCATAAATTCTGTGCGCTGTGACTGTTTTCAATTGTCATACATATTGATTCTGAACACAGTGCAACACATTCAGGGTGAATATAGCGTCAGTATTGTGAACTCATATAAAATCACCCAATGTAAAACAAGCAAAAAGCTGCAAGAATCTAAACGTTGCCTTAGCGAAGGGCCATTAAAATTGCGTCAAAATTAGGATCCTGATTTACGGCTACTATACATCTTCTACTTTTCTTTTCACTTGTGAAAAAAAGGGAAGGGGGAGGATTGGATGAAAACCAAAAATGTGGAACGAGAGGAACAAATGTCTAGCCCAGAACAATCTAAATCGATAACCATTAATTAAAACTTCCTCTTCAGAAGCAGCCTTCAGGTTTAATCCTTAACGTTTGAAACATCTTTTGAAATGCTGCCACGAACTGTCTCTTCAAAATATACTGATTAAGTCAGGCTTTTTATTTCTGTCAAACACAATTATGGAGCCTTACCAAAAATAACCACGAAAACAAATGATCCCGATATTTATTTTTCTAGAAGGATCAGTATACTCCACAACATGACCGAAATATGAAGATGGACGCAGCATGTTCCTCCGAAACACTGGCATCCACCTATAATGCCATATTGTGTCATAATCCAGGCGGCTACAACCAGAACAGATTCTCGTAGTATTTTCAGAAATTGAGAGCAAACAGTTATGTATGGAACTGAGTATGTTGGTAGAAATTCTAAACATCCTAGCCGAGGTTACGAGGTTATCTTCCCCGCACAAGCCTTCATGGAATAGTGTTCAATTATACAAGCCATATAATAAATACCTGTAACTGTGACCTGCCTGTCAATGATTTCTTTGGTTGTTCGAATTACTTGCCTGTCAGCACCTCAGCTAATCGTGTCAAGCAGAAAAATCGCGAACAGTGAAATGACAATAATCATGGCGGATGGGGGTTGTGGCCTGTTTTAAAGTAGGCAAATAGAATCTATCTATGGCCGCGCCTTAGCTCAAGCGGTTAGTCGCTGACTTCCCACCGGGGCGGCCCGGGTTCGATCCCGGGTCTGGTCAAGTGGGATTTTTGGTGGACAAAGTGTCAGTGGGGCAGGTTTACTCCGAGTACTTCGGTTTCCCCTGCCAATCTTCATTCCACCAATTGCTCCACAATCACCCTCACCTATCATCTGGGGCTGGTACAATAGGCCAGAAGTGGCTGCAGTACAAGGGACTTAGTCCCACCCCACTAGCAATAATAATAACAATAATAATAATAATAATCTATCTATCTATAGTCCTTTAGTTGGACCTTGGCCGCTATTTAGTTCCTTAATCTTATACACAGTCGGTAGGACTTCCTTGACTTACACTTCGACTCTGAAGATGGAAGCGATATATTGACTTTCATCCGACTACATTACACCTTCGAAGGTGACTCTGAATTTAGGTTTGTGCCAGTTGCGCAATCCACCCAATGCATAGGGAAACGTCCTTCTTCAGAATCTGATAGTCGTTTATTTCGTCTCACTGTTCCACTTTGTTATTTCACGATGCCGTCTTAGCCAGCACAGTCAATCTTGGTTTTGTGTCCCTCGGGACCCATGACCATATTTTTGTCCTTTGCAAGACTTTTTACGTGTTTCTAAATAGGGCCTCCTCTTCCACGAGACGAGGGGTCTGCTACTGATCACTCACCTTCTACTGGGGGTGACTCGAGGGGGCACTCACTCACTAACTGGACACTGACGGACGAAGGTTTGGCTATTACATACATGGATTCTCGTCCATCAATTTCCTATCATCGCCACGTTTCTGCACAGTGAAGGATTTATTAATTAAACAGTTACAAAGCAACGAAGCAGAGGTTTTTGCACTATACGACCGGTCCTGATCACTAGCAACAAGCCCAGACACAGAGAGAAACGAGGGAAAACAGAGAACACAAAAGTACAGGGTTTTCATTACATGATAATGCTCTGCCGAGATACGCTTCCTTGAAACCGCCAGTTCAGTAGCCGGCAAACTGCCACGTTAGCAGCGTCATAAATTGAAAAGCAGAGCAGATCGTTAATTGACAGGTGTTATATAACATGAAATATTATATACTTCAGTATCATGCAGTGATTTCTTCAATTAGTATATGCACCGCGTATATGGCATATGTAAGTTGGGTACAAAGTTCTAATAGTTTCAAATTACATTCCCTCTATCTTAATACTAAGCTGTTTCCCATAACAGGAACTGACTTACCTTTCTTTGGGATGAGTGACTTGAGGAGTAGGACAGCGTTCTCGTCGCACGCCCACGCGTGCATCTTCCGGTAGCTATCCCGTCCTTTCTCCGTGAGCTTATCCCACGGTTTCGGTTTGGACAGCAACTCGGAGACGGTGCCTTGTGATAATCCAAGAACGTACTTAGCGAACAATCTTTGGCCAATGTTATTAATGGACAAGAGTTCGCGCACCCTCCTCGATATATGCAGAGTGTCCAAATTTTGTGTGGAATACTTGTCCATGTTGTACCTCAACATCTCCTGCAACCTTGCTTCCATCGGGTCTCCTTTCGGTATCAGAGACTCACCTAAACGTCCTACCATCACACCACTTGGAGTCATTGATCCACCATCTTCCGAAAAACGAAAAGGACTTCGAGGATCGTCGAACCTAAAAGGACTTTTCATATTATCGTCATTTCTAAGGAAACTGAGTCCTGCCGCCACACTGACGGGCGTGCTCGTTGGGGGCGGTGGGATCACATTATTGTTACTAGAACTCACACTGGACAGTAAATGGCTGCTACTGTTACACAATGCACTAGCTGTTGACGCTGAAGACGACGCGTCTTCGGGAGGCGTCTTAGGGTTTCCGTTCATGAGGTGGTGATGGAGCGGCGCTCCGCTATCTCCCACTGATGATAACGTTGTCGTTGTCGTCGTTGTGGTCGCTGACGGTGACGATATCGCTGTCGTCGCGTTCACTAACGACAGTGACGTAGGAGACGACGTGCAAGGGAACGACGGGGTCGCAGACGAAGGCGGTCTGTTGTGCGGGGATGTGGAGCCTTCAGGCTTGTTGCTGTCCGCTGACGACGGCTGCTGGTGGGTGGAGTTGGGGGTTGCTGGAGATGGCTGCTGAGTATCTGTTGGGGAGTGGATACTTAGTTGTTGCTGATGCTGAGCGGAAGATATGACTGCCGCATGGCTCTGACTCAGGATGGTTCTCTCCAGAGACCGTCGCCAATTGGCAACAATCTCTTCACCAAGAAATGAACCGAAAGTTTCCACGTTTTGTAGTGGAGGCGGGAAAAGCATTGCTGACGGAGGGACAGAAGGTGGCGGCGGTGGAGGCGGAGGAGGCGGTGGGGGCGGTACTGTCGAGGAATGTTCCAGGGAATGGTTCGACAGAGGAAGATGAGCTGGATGGGATGGTGGAGGGGGAGGGGGTTGATAAGGGGAGTCTTGCACCAGATGATGTGACGCAGTCGTAGTCGGGGTCGAGGTTGTAGTGGTACTACCTGGAAAGATATGGAGGGAAGGCAATTTGTACTGCCTACAATTTTAATCATCGTGCAGCAGTAGCTTTCATACTTCCCCAAAATTTCAAGAAGGAAAATAAAAATTCCCAATTTTTCTGTTTAGAGAGAATGCAGACTTAGTCTCATCAAAAAAGTTAAACTGTGACGTGTTTATTAATTAGTTGAAATCTAATGCATAAGCCTCACTCGGCACACGTCGTAATGCATTGTACCTTAGCTGGATCTATGTGTTATTCTTCACAATATCAAACCGAGCTAACAAAATCCCACGGAAGCTCAACTGTCTACATAAATGATCAACAAATTCCAAACCATCGAACGCAAGACATAAACAACGTAAAAGTTTCTCAGCCTCACGCAGTTCTTTTTTTAAATAAAATCATGGGTCAAAATATTTCCAAAATTCCCGCAATTTGAAAGCCACTGCCACAGGGAGTTGCAAAGAGAACTACAATGTATATGAAAGTGTTTGGTCGTCCCATCTCCCTAGAACAACAAGAAGAAAAACCCCATTAAAGACCACTTCGATCAAATTGAGTCACTGATTGTATAAATGGAAGTGAAGCCCGACCATATTCAGTAACGAGTTAGATGGTACAGGAAAGCTTAACGAAGCCAAATTAGTAATTTTATTACAAAGACATGACGTGTCCTATTAACCGTTCCTACAATTCAATACATACGGAGAGAGGAAGAGTGTTCCAGTCTATTCATTATACTTAAGAAAGAAACGTATGCACTCTACGTTACACTAAAAGCATAGGCTGCATAGAGGTAAGAAGATAGCATTAGGCTAATAAGAAAAGCAAACTGATAAAACAATATCACAGATTTCACTGACCATTTAACACATAAAGTGCCATTAAATTTCCGCTATGTTGGTTAAACTATTAGCAAACTCTCTCACCTACAGTCGAAGTAAGTACAGTTTAAACAATAACAAACGTTTCGCGTATATTGACCATTTACACGGAGTCAAGGAAGAAGTGAACAGTACAGAAGTGGCCTGCACTGTCTTACACAACAGCTACAGGATATCAGACATGTCTCAGCGTAACTATGAAGTGAATTCAGGTATAAGCTGCAGTCTGTTTAGTACTGTTTCAATAGATCTTCAGGATACAATACGCCTGGTATTTAGTATATGAAACTCTGTTTTTTCTGCGTCTTCCTTCGGTGTTAACTGAACTTCATCTGGAAGCCCGGGTTTCACAACATTAGCCGTCACTTCTGTACTAACTCCCCTCCTCCACAATTTTTTTTAAGGAACAGAGTTACTCCTTGGCAGTCACTGCAGAACTGGGTCTGACGTTAAAGCTGACAGTTGTAGTTCCCATTTTCATTTGTCGCTCTAAATGCTTGTGCAGTCGGCGCTCAGCCGTTCGGAAATAACTAGCCCACCTTTCCCGAATGAAGTGTTCGAAAATTTGATTTCGACACGTATCCTATAAGAAGATACAACACCAATTCCACGCTGCTGATCAATATACATTTTTATTCTTCTCCTGTGGAAGATAAAGGAAACCGTCCTTTGCCTGCTGGCTGCATTAAGAACACTGTTATTTTCTTGACAACATTTCAGTAACTAATGTTGACGAAGAATAACCGAATCAGTAGTTGCGATCTTTTATCAGAAACATCGTTGTTAGATACTTTCATATAAGAGGCCGCAAATAAGAAATTAAATGCCAATTTTAGTACAACTGTGAAGAGAGCAGTCTTCTGGGATGTGATACCGTGTAGATGTAGTGTTAACCGACGTTTCGGAGGAACGTATCGCCTCCATCTTCAGGGTAGAAGGTAGAAGCTTGTATCGCTTCTCATGGTCTCTTCGCTTGCGGATTTCTTATTTTCCTTCTACCCTGAAGATGGAGGCGATACGTTCCTCCGAAACGTCAGTTAACACCACATCTACACGGTATCACATCCCAGAAGACTGCTCTCTTCATAGTCACCACCGTGAAAACCTCAAATCTTACATTTAGTACAACTGTTTTTTCTCCAAGAGTTTGATTTTCTGTGAACGAACCAGACTAGTAATTTATTTTTGTTACTTATATGGAAAAGTTTGATTCGTAACCTTCAAAATATCGGCTCGTCTCGTCTCGCACTCTTTAGGTACAATTCAGTCAGTACGTTAACCAAAATAACGTTTCTTAGCCCATCGTTCTCATCATCTGGCTTCTGTTTCTTCGTTGCATGTGGCGTTTAATTTATGTGAGGAGCCGAGGGCATCAGAAGTCTCAAGTCTCTCTTATAAACCCACGGACTGTGTCTTGTCTTTTCAGTGTTTACAAAGTTCCAATAAAACAATGCAATTTTGCCTGCTCTGGACCCGAAGAAGCAACTGTCGAACAGCAGGGGAGAAGATAAACTCACAACAAATATAGTAGAGCACCACGAACCTTCCCTCTGCAGGTGGGAACAATCGCACAGTAACACATGACAAAGCGGTACTGGGAAGTCACATTTTCTGTGATGTAATACAGATACCTCCATTAAAACGTTTTAAAATAGGCAGTTCACAGCATTAAATACAGTTCCCATGTATTACGTTTTAGTACACAGGACACATATACTTTAATACTTATTTACATAATATGGGTTAAAATTTGCGGTCTAATCATTACAGATATGAAAGCAGTTACTAGTCTAACAATAAAATTATTATACCTATTGCGGACCGCATGTTGTGTATCACTTCCGTAATTTAGCGATCCTAGCACACAGGATCACAAACCTAAATTTCCGTTTTTGTAAATTAAAAATTAAAGAGCACAATTATAATCGACTGTTTTTTAAAACGTGTCGCATAACATGTGACGTACAATTCATTCTGATGACGTCACGTAGGGTTAAACTATTTATTACTTATAACAATTAACATCCCTGATAGGCAATAAGCGAGATATTTCATCTAATTTCTAATATTTCGACACAAGAAAACAAAGGACACAGACACTGTGAAGTCTCTCTGTTGAAATCTAAGAACTCGTATCACCTCAAAACGTAAAAATGGAGCATCAACTGTTTCACACGCAGACAGACAACAGAGCAAATGAAACTAACACCAAATACGTGAGGCACACAGTAGATAACGGGTAAGTGAGGCATCATGCAATGGCAGGCACATAAACGTACACGGGAAATCTAAAATAAGCAGCACTACACAATCAGACTTCGAAAGTATAAATTTACAGAAACAATATTTTTATTTCTGTCGAAATCTAGGACAGAACTTTAAACTGAGTCGATGTAGAATGAACATGCTTCTAGATTAAAGACACGCCGTAAATTGCAAATGCACAACATATATTTCATTCCAAACAAAACACGTAACAGTGACATAAGTTCGTTATGCGAAGATAATTTGCAATCAAGCGGCAACCCAACAGAGAGAAGGACTTTAAGCGACGTGTATTTGCAAGACAGTTACAGGAGGATCACAACTTTGGTGCATTTACGTACATAAATCAGATTGTGACGGACCCCAGGGTTAGAAAAACAGGCCTAATTATGATCGAAAATTAAATTCAGTAACTCAAACAACAAAGATCAAGGGAATTGTTATGGTTCAAAATTTTAAATTATATGTTGCTACTCACATGAACCAAAACTTCGTGTGAACAAATGTCGTAAGAAAAAGAATTCATGAAGAAGAAAGTTGGGAATAAAAGTAGGATCTACAAAACATTTACAATGAAACTGACGTCACATCATCCGAAGGAGAATTGTTTGTGTAGGTAGTAGGATAAAGGTCACAAGCAATACAGTAATACGTTGACTGTAAAAAAAAAAGGTTAACACAACATCAAACAGCCACTGGCCAGTATTAACTGCAAATACGCAAACAGCAACAAAATAGCCTACCGCATAACTGAACAGAAGTACTGAGGCATTCCTACTAGGAAAGGCTAATGAAATCTTACACTACGGGTCGTTAAATTATTATTCTCAGTTAATCTGTATTACACAACATCGTCTGATATAGAATTTGATATAATTTTACAATTAAATTTTCAAGATAAAATAGATATCAAATCCGGTCTTACTGTCCCTTTACTTCCTAGTTCAACGTCCTAATAGAACATTTTAAATTAATTAACACATAACAAAATATAATACATTATTTACTATCATTACCTGTATTGTATCTGAATTCATATTAACGCATAGCATGACATAAGTTCAGTTCAAATGTGACGTCATAATATAATTTCATGCCCATTGTTTTGATAAATTTGTTAATAAAATTATTTGGGGGTCAGGCTAAGTGCCCCAATGAAAATCATCAGAAACATGTCCAGTTTCTCAGCAAAATTAAAAATATTTAACAATCTCGAGTTTCCAAATATGTTCACCAAATTACTAGAAAAATCTCTAGTTTCTCTGTTATTAAACAGGGTAAGATATTTATCTGCCTACAGGCACAGTGCAGACTTGTCTCTTGGGTACCTGATATTTGTGTAGCCGGTCTTGGAATCCGAAGATTTGTCACTGTCATCACAAAAACTCCTCACCGTAGCCAGTTAAGTCCATATCCATATTCGCAAGCCATTTCATTACTCGGTTTTAGTTTTTATTATCTTTCTCATACACCTCGATCTTCCAAGAGCTCTTGCCTCTAGAGATTTTTCGAACCAAGTTATCTTATCTTACCCACGGCCGGTTTAATTCCGAACTGTAGAACAAGGGAGCAGTTTCTGCTGCCAGGCGTTACCTTGGAGATCAGCTGCTGCCTTCAGTGCCGCGCTTTCTGCTTGCTGCAACGCTTTGGTCCGTTCCAGGAGCAGCATCTCCAGTGACTTGCTGGTTTCTCCTGAAGGACCTCCTGGACCCACCGATGGAAACTCGATACTGCGCAAAATACTGGGGAATACATAAAAATACCGTTAAATGACACACAAAGGAGTTACGGTATCTCATGAGAACTCGCTTATATAATCAATGTCTGATACTATTGTTCCGTTCCGGTTTTAAGCGACATTTTTCTGTTGCCAACGGGAACTCAATGCCACTGTTAGTCAGATATCCTATTGTTATGCAGTACCCAAAGATGAGGGAAGGTACACTCACAGCCTTACACAGTACTTACGCCGTCTCACAGCTCAAGGGGTTAATAGCCGGCTTCCTACCGCGGCGGTCCGGGTTCGATCCCGGATCAAGTTGTGGGATCTGTGGCGGACAAAGTGACGATGGAGCAGGTTTCCTCCGAGTACTTCGGTTCCCCCTTCCAATTCTCATCCCATCCAATTCTCCATACTCATCTATTATCCGGGGCTGGTACAATAGGCCAATTAGTGGCCGACGTAACAAGTGGACTCAGTCTCACCACACCCCACAAAAACTTACAAAAAAATACACAAAACTTGCAACCTCATTCAAAGATTCTTATTGTTTTGGATTAAGCAAGAGTTACTCTCCCCCCACATTTCCAATCTAATTAATATATTTCCTACAATAAGAATATGGGGCCACGCGGTAGCGTAGTTGGTTGCTACAAGCCGGAAGGTTGCGGGTTCGAGTCGCAATGAGGTGGAGTTTTTTCAATTGGTCTAATCCTTCCAGCCGCACTATGAGCCTAGGTCGACTCAGCCTCTAACAGAAATGAGTACAAGGAATCTTCCTGCGGGGTAAAAGGAGGCCGGCGCGTAAGGCTAACAACCTGTAAGCCGACTGTCTAGATAATGTGGCACTCTCAACGTCTCACAACCCTATGGGCCTCCATGGCCTGTTACAGGGATAGCTTTACATTTTTTTTTTACAGTAAGCGTATAAGGACGTGTGGAATCAATCGTTTAATCGCTCGAATTGTACGTACTGAACGCCCGTAAAGACCCTATAATCGTTTAATGTACTTTTCCAACCTTGTCTTATATAAGACAGTTAGGCAACTGAACTCGAATAAGTTTAAATATTTTACTGGCTTCCTTGTAGCAACAGAATTCTATGGAAACACACATGTATGAATACTATTATCCTACAAGCCTATTATGCTTATATGATGCCACGTATCAGTAAACAGATGCATGATGATAGCCGAAGAGAAATAATGGTAACATATACAGACGAGGGGAGGGGAGGGGAGAGGAAGGAATACATTTTGATCTAAACAGGATTTCGACTCGGATGGTTAATAGCAGTCATAAGAGACACTTCCTACCCCTCCCCCAACCATATGCAGGACGTTAGAATGGCAAGGCAAGACTTTCCTGAAACACCGTAATGATTAAATACACAGGCCTACATATAAAAACTATATTTCCTCCACTATTCTGAAATATATTCCAGTCAACCATTATCTATTTCACGTGATACATAAATCAAAGTGAACAGCATATGTACAGGCCTACACCGTGATAGGCATTTCATATGAATCAGACCGCAGAATAGCAGTATCACGAAAGCCGGTGGATTCCAGCAGGATGTTACGAACTTTTTACCACTTTTCCATTCTTTCGTNTTTATTTCAACGTGCTAACTCAGCAGCTACAGGAGCCCATTACAGTGTCAGCATAAACAAACAGAAGAAACACACACATTATATATATATAAAGTTCTAGTGCACACAGTATATGTACAGTATCACAAGTTTCTAATTATTATTATTATCATTCTATTCATTCATTGGAGTTCTTGCCAGTAACTAAAGCCTATAACGGGTAAGTACTTAAAGACAAGGTACTTGGTAAGGCTGCCCCTGTAACACGCCATGGAGGCCGATAGGGTTGTGAGACGTTGAGGGTCCCATATTATCTAGACAATTGTCTCATAGCCTTATGCGCCGGCCGCCCTTTAACCCCAGGTAGATTCCTGGTACTCATTTCTGTTGGAGGCTAAGTCGACCCCAGGGCCATAGTGCGGCTGGAAGGATTAGTTCAATTGAAAAAATCCACCTCATCGGGACTTGAAGCCGTGACCTTCCGGCTTGTAGCATAGTGCCTAAACAAACTACGCTACCGTGTGCCCCCACCTTTATATATTCGATACGAAATATTAAAACTTGACCAATATGCAGTTAAAATTTACACTATTATTCTTAAGTGTAAAAGAGAAAACGCTGGCTTTCTGAACGTTAAGATTCCTGTACTTTTCGGAGTATCACTTATAGTTTATATAGACATAAATTTGCAAGAACTTACAAATCTCGATAGAGCTTATTACTTAGAAGTGCCAGAAGCAATATTAAATTAGAGGGACAAATTTACATGTACCTTAAATTCAAAAATTAGAAAAGGAGGGCAGAAACTTTGGGGCACATCAGGCAGCGCAGAAAACGGGGGAGAAAATATCCCTAATAAGCACACACACGCACACGAACACGCACGCACAAAGGATATATATAATACGCTGCATAACTATGGAACCAAGTAATATATCATGGAAACAGTCCAGAACTGTTCAATTTGTTTAATAACAGATTATATAGAGGGTAATGAAAGGCTTGACTGAGATCAGTAAATTGAGTCAACCTTCTCTTGTGCCAGACGATAGGTGTGACTGTGTTTAAGTAGATAATTAAATTTATTACAGTTGATTTTGATTTAATAAGTCCATGCTGAAATAGATGAAGCTTAAATTTAAAATAAAAGGAGAGTTGATCATGAATAATAATTTCAAAAACCTTTGAGAGAAGTTATTTAAAATTAAAACACGTCACTACTTGGTCACAAGAGCTCCGTTGTCTTTCTGGAAGACAGGAACAGCCACAGCCTCTATCCACATAGAAGAAAAGTCTCTTTAATACACTAAAATTGTGTACATACGTTAGAATGGGAGCAAAAAATCTCAGGGCAGCCACTGATAGTAAAACTAGGGATTCTCCTAAACTGACGGCCTTGAAAACTCAGAGCGTCGAACTGCCCGCTTGTCTTCAACTTCGGAAAGGGAAGGGGCACTGATAAGTCGGAAAAAAGAAATGCTGTTAAGTACTGACAGAAGACAAAGAACTAAAAGCTAACAGACAGAGGCTACTGCAGTCTCTGCAATATGCTAGAGAATGCTTAATACAATTATCTCCACATTTCATTTGGCTAACGGTATAACTGTTCCTTTAAAATTTATAAATACATGCATATATCCTGAGATGTTTAGGTTATACCCTAAAGACACCATCCACAGATTCCAGCCACCGAAGTCTGTCTATTTTGACAGTAACTGTAACCAATTTACGATAATGAGAAACATACTGCGGAGGTCGGTAGGTATGGATTTGCTTACATCTTCTACAAAACTTACTTTTCTTACGGATTATTGTTCGTGTTGGAAGCAGAATCGGTGATGAAAGGATGATCTGATATACAGGACTACTATAAACGATTCATTCGTTTTTAAAACGCTATATTTTCCAAAGCATTACACATACGAATATGATTGATATATAAAAAGAACCGTAAACTCACCAAGTTTTCTTCACACTCTACAAATGTTCTATGTGTGCCCCTTGGGTCACACGACACACGTCAAGGCAGTAGTCGAGCTTGTTCCACAAACTTTGTAGCATCATCCTGTCAATGGTCATCACTGCAGCTTCGATACGATCCCTCAGCTCTACTAGTGTTCCTGGCAGTGGGGGTACGTAAACACGATCCTTAATGTACCCCAAAAGGAAGAAGTTACAAGGCAGATCAGGTGATCTGGGGGGCCAAGTGAACAGAGCTATGTCATCCTCACCAACACGCCCAATCCAGCGATGCCGAAGTTCATTGTTTAGGTAGCGACGAACATTGCCGATACCACCGCAAAATGCTTTGTTTACATGGCGGTTCTTTTCCGTACTCTCTTTTGAATGCGCGTTGCACTGCTATAACAGACGAACATATCGCATATACCAACAAACAAAAACTCTTCTCTTGCTTTGTCGCCATTTTGTAAAGGCACTGAATTCGTGCTGTCAACTGGTGCATCTAATTCAAACTTGGTGAGTTTACGGTTCTTTTTATATATCAATCACATTTGTAAGTGTAATACTTGGGAAAATATAGCTTTTTAAAAACGAATGAATCATTTATAGTAGCCCTGTAGTTTAGAAACGGAATGGTCAAATTCATAGTTCCAGTAACTGCTGAAGTAAGATTATGGAGTTATTCCACCGACCAGCAGGTTACTGTAGTAAACGCACTCGAAAGTTCGTAACTGTCACAGCAAAACTGTTCTTTGTGCTAGCCAGATCAGTCCATCTCCCATATCACAAATATTTAAGGTAGATACTACCATAATTTTCGCACTTACGCCCAGGTCTCGCAACTGCTCTATTCAATGAAGATTTTGCACCTGAAATTGTGTATGAATTTATTCTTTCCGCCTATTCATTCAACAGTCTTAAAATTAAACGAAGCTCCTCATCGTGTAATTTTCTGATGAAGATAGTCAAAATTGTGTACCTGTGTGTATTTATTGCTTCCATATACGTGATAAATCCAGCATACTGCATCACTGATATTAAAAGAAAATCCTCATTATATATTATTATGACGCAGGCAACAAAAACTGTTATGTATTTAGCGTCTCCTCATGCAAGCTAAAAATCTCTCCCATCCCATACTTGTTGACTTAAATAACTAATTTATAGGAAATATGGATTCTGCTTCATGGAAAACATTAAACCTAGTAAGTTACACTTCATGCTAGCTTTATTTTACTGGCTAAACTATCTGAAGGAAAGTAGCAATCACAAATCCAACCAAAAGTTATATTTTAACACATTAATCTGCAATAAAAGTACTGGCTCATGGATGAGTTTGGGCATAACTCATACGTATACTCTTTTTTGCTGTTGTTCACTTAGGTATGATTTTAATTCCTCTATTATGGTATTACTCATGTCTGTCTGGTAATTACTACATTTAAAAATAAATATTTAGGACTGTGCATGCGCTTCTGCTAGCGGCGTGTGTCCGCGCGCTTCCACTAAGTTTAAATGCCCTACTGGCCAAAACGGGGTACCTGAGCCACAACGACCATACTCATCACTGGCCCGATCGGGGCACTTCGACGGTTAAAGGTTAATCACTTGAATATTATGTGAAACTCCTAAATATGGAATCTTTTAATACATATCTTATGTTTCTTTTCTTGCGATAACCACGGGTGAGATGACTATTTCAGTTACCGCTCTGTGTTATGGGGATTCATTCCCGTACTTCGAAATGAACTAATTATATTCAGGCAATCTGGCTACGATTTCTTGTAAATGCCAGACCTTAAGTAGTGCGAGTTCCAGTAGTATCACTTGGTGCTTCAGGTTTAGACATCAATTTCCACCACAATGAGCTCGATAAACCACAGTAAAGTGACCTCATATGGGCTGGAAAACCGGGATGGGGGGGGGGGTTCGTTTGCAGGTAAAACTACCGGAACATTTTTCTGTACAACAAATTCAGAATGGCTCTATCATCTCTCTTACCAAACGGGTAAGCGGCATCTTTCACTGGATGTAAAATTCCCGTATATTAGCACTTGACCACATTTTCAAGGATTTATTAGTAAATGCTAAAACGTCTCTACATAGACTCATCCTCATCTCAGTTTATTTTGGGGTTAAAATTTGGGACAAATTCTGAGAATATGGGAGTCTTTTTTGCTGACCTGAGCTCCCTTTTGACGTCATCGTAGTCCCTCTGGGCGTCGAGCCGGGCCTCGAGGCGCGTGATGTGCTGTCGCTTGTGCTCCAGTTGCTCCTCCAGCCTCGCGATCTGCCCCGCGGAATTCTCCTGAAGCTTGGTGATGCTGGTCTGTAGCCTCTGTACGTCCTCCACCAACTGCGAGATCTGTAATCAAGAGACAGTGCTTGACCTGGATCTCTAGCACAATTAATTCACTGATAAGTATGTACGTAGACCAATATGTAAGCGTGGATTAAGGGGGAATTAACACAGTAAGCAAGTGAATCTTTATGGTTTGCATCTTGTTGTGTGTTCGATAATCGTATAAACTGGGCCGTCAACACCAACATAAAAGTATCTTCAAGATGAAGACAAAACATATAATACTATATTTCTATTATTTATAATGCGAAGACGTTTCGACCTTCTCTAGGTCATCATCAGGCGAATTATAAGAAAAACAAAATAAGTACTTGAATTGCATTGTCTTAATATGGATCCATATTTTACAATTATTATTATTATTATTATTATTATTATTATTATTATTATTATTATTATTATTATTATAGGGAATACACCTATAGAGAATGTAAAATAATACACTTAAAACTCCAGTGATGCGCGATTGTTGTCTAAAATTAAAATAATCAGATCCTACTATTATAGGAATTTTATTAGTATTAATAAATTTATTAATACAATCCGTCTTAAAATTGGTTCAAAAGTTATTAAAATTTGTAATAACTCTTTAAGTTAAACGTTACCTAATCCTTCCAACTGCATTATGGTCCTGGGTTCGACTCAGCCTCTACTACAAATGAGTACCAGGAATCTTCCTGGGGGGGGGGGTGAAGGGCGGCCGGAGCGTAAGGCTGACAACCTCAGCGCCATCTGTGAGCGGACTGTCTAAAGAAAATATGGGAGTCTCGACGTCTCACAACCTTATGTGCCTTCACGGCCTGATACAAAGACAGCTTTACCTTTTTTTAAGCTAAATGACTCGTCGAATTATATGTTTAGATTATAAGTTTATTTCAAAAAATAGTCTTGAAATGAAGCTAAGACTAAAAATAGTGTAATGCTGTTGAACTCGTGGTTGTTTGTAAAATCATGGACCGATGTGCTGTGTGGGGGTGAATGCCTATACCTTAATGAACACTGTTTCTACAAGTAAGCATACGGTTAATACAGCACGACATAAATACTCGTATATTTGAACAAGGTTTGTTTTTACAAGTATGCATGCGGTTAATACAAGTCAATAATTTTGGTACTGCAAGTCAGTTTGCGATTAACAGATTATGACGTAAATATATTCCAGTAAAGTTTGCTTCTACAACTGAGCATCTGGTTAATGGAATATGACGTGAGTATAACATATCTCTGTTTCTATGACATTTAAACATGAACATAAGGCCGGAACATAGCTCGGGCTGAATTAAGTAACACAGGAAAGAGAAAAGAAAGAATGAAGGCCGTCAGTCGCCGGTTTCTCAGTGCAGAGGCACGAGTTCTATTCTAGGACAGACGGTGTGGGACGTACAGTGGACAAAGCGGCATTGATGTACGTTCATCTCTAATTACTTCTGTTTCCCCTGAAAATAATCATTCCATAAAAGTTCAACATTACTTCGTCATATCATTATCAGAGGCTAGTACAACAGACAAAACTGAGATTTCATCACTAAGTGGTATAGTTTATTCGTATCCCTGTTATTACGTGAACACATTAGGATGAAATTCCGTCACGTGTCATCACACTCATGGAAATATCACTGCTAGTCTGATGGATAGAACAGAAACCGTAAGGGTCAATTTTGCTAATTCCGGTACTTTAAAATGATGGTAGCGAAGTGAATACATTGCCGCCTATGACTACACGTCCGGGATTCCCAGCAGGTTATCCGACATCGCCCGTCACATGACTTAGAACGTCCTGGGCCACATGCAGCCTACGATCCAAGGGACACGGTTGTATAAGTCACTCAAAAACCATGCCAAATATTGGTCCAGATATCCAATTTCTCAGGCGAAACTCGAGCAATACTTAAAGAACTCGAAGAAACAGTACCAGCCATTAACAACCACGTTCGGTGGTTCTCCTACGCAGCCCTTGTTTCTTACTTTGAGACAGCAACAAAACATTTAACGTGTCTCTTACGAATTACTACAGCTTCGAGAGGGAAAGATAAAAAGGATGCGACAACAATAATGAGGAGCTTAAAGAAAGGAGAGAAGAAGCAATGCGTCATCTCTCTTGAAGATATAAAATAACCCCTGCAGAGATTATGCGTAATGTAGATATAATAAAAGTTTGGGGGGAGGGGGTTCCTCTACCCATTGCGCCCGACTCGGTTCGTGCAAGTACACTTATTGTTACTGACTTTACCCTAATTAAGATACAACTTAACGACACTTTCATGCAAATGTTTTTCAAACTCCTCCTAGTATACAGCAGCGATAAAGTTAGTTGAATTTTCATTTCTCGTCCATCTCTCTCGCTCTTTCTAAAACTATACAAATGAACCATTATATTCCATATCGTGCATCAACCCCAGGAGGTGCATAAAGAGGAAGTAAAGGAAACGCCAGTTGTTAGTCTGCCACTAGGTATAGCTGCCGTGTCTTTACTGTTGCTATAAGGATGTCCATTACCCTACCTGAAACCTCCGACAGCAAAGTGAGGATGAACCCTGAAAGTGCAGAAGCACTAATTTTACAGCAGCTAGAATTTTAGAGGCCACTTTGTAATTTGAACAAAATGGACTCCATGTAAATGAGTCGTTCTTGATAGACTTACAGCTGCTAAGCTGGCCAAGAAATTCTCCCACTTCATGAAACCCGAAGGTTCATTTGCGTGAACATAGGACATCACCACTGGCACCAAACATGAGTCAGTTTAATCCAGTCCGCATTAGTACATCCTATTTTTTAAGATGCAATTTAATATTAACTTACCATCTACACGTAGGTTTTCGATCTGTTAAGGTTTTCCGATTAAAATTTTGTATGCATTTCTCGTTTTTACCATCTGTGCTACACGTCACACCCATCTCATTCTTCTTCATGTGATTACCGTAATAATAGGTTGGTGAAGGGTTCAAATTACGAAACAAAAAATAAATTTCTAACCACAATAATAATAATAATAATAATAATAACAATAACAATAACAACAACAACAACAACGATCAATGTTGTTTAGATTCCTTGTCCTACTCAAGTTTCAAAATTCACAGTCCATTCCTCTAGTCATCCATCCATCCACCTATGTCCGTATGTCCTAATTCTTGTTTTCCTTTCAGTTTACATTTAACACATGTTTCCTCGTGTCTATAAGACTATATTTTGCAAAATAATGTCTTATAAAATACATTCCCGTATTTAAAATATATTCTAACTCTTAAGATATTAATTCCTTACTAAAATATTGTAACTGAAAATTCAAAACGTGTAATTGATTCTAATACTGGGAAGTAAGCGCCCATAAAAATAGCACCTAAAAATAAGAAAATCATAGTAAGTCAGTAAGTCTTCAACACGCGTATTTCGCTGTGACACAACCAGTATTATCAGAACAGAGGACTACGTGACATTTGTAATCAAGCACCCAATGTCTATCTTTGAGGTCTAAAACCATAACTTCGACCTACTGCCAAAACAACTCTGCTCAGCCTGAGAAACTAGACGCAAAACCTGATATAAGCCGATAACACCGAGATTTGAATCAATAATGAAGAAGCCAATCTATCCTCTTCACAAGAAGTACTCAGCGGAGGATCTTGACCGCGCAGAAAATGCCGCCTTTCTGTCAAAGGAACCAGGATATTTCCGAAACGTAATTTCTGAACAAGGATTCATAGAAACACAATACCCAATAAGAATTTTATACAAAAAAACTGTGTTCATATTTCATAGAAGCCTACGCCGCTAAATCTAAATGTCTGAAAGCAACACTTTTTTCGCTCATTTCATATTATTCCCCCCCTCTAAAAACAACAAAAAACCTTCCCCACATCGTTCGCCTTAAGGGGGGTTGGTAGAAGAGCTACGAATTGCCGTACATTCAGTGACAGTTTTGTATCGGAAGCGGATAGAGAGCAGCACTTTTGTTCCAGATGAGAAACAGAGGAAGAGCGAGATACGCACATTTAAAAAAAAAAAGGAAGAGGGACGACTACCACGACGGTGGCGCCGCGTCGCGCATGCAATGACCGATAAAACGCTGCTGCTACTGCGGCCAAAATCCGAACGAACGAAACTATAAGCCTTATTTCTATAACGAGTCATGCATTACTCACCCTCTTTATAAAGAGAAGAGGACGGGAAGAGAAGGAGACGGAGAAAGAATGAGATAGCAAAAGGATACATTTTTGCATCCATTCTCCACAATATCTCTGAAACCCATAGCAAATGAACGAACGATCTATTCCATAGAATGAGGCAGGAGGGCTCCGTAAGCCACGTACGTACAAAAAAACCGGAGAATGTTACATATATACAGTATAGCTGTAAGGGCGGATAAAAACGATATGGCTATTGAGCCCGAAGGGATGGATAGGAAAGAGAAAGGAAAGGGAGGGATGGCAAAAGAGTGGGGAGGGGAGGAAATTTTGCAAATGGAACAGATTTTGAACGTCAAACTCAAACCTCTCATACTCCTCCGCCTACTCTCCTTTTCACCCCTTTTTCTCCAACCTCCGAAAACCCCCTTTATTTCCTCCCACCATCTAGCCAACCGTTCCCTCTTCTTTTTTTGTATTATTTTCACCCACCGGACAAAATCACTCATTTTCTTCCCTCATACCTCTTTTGCACGGTCCTATCACACTCTTCCTCTATGGCAAATCGTTATACTTCAACCCTTTTCCTCCCATACTCCCTTCTTCTCGCCCCCTGCTTCATCCCTGCTACAGCAGCAGCAGCATCCCCATGACAGTACAAAGTTCCTCTGGAATAGTACGTCACAGATGAGTTTTTGTTTGGTTGGATTCTGACTGTGGGCAAAATATATATAGATATATATTCATCTCAGACCGATCGCCGTGTGATGTTTTTGGCGGACGGCTTCTTCCATTCCCCAGCCCTTACACTGAGCAGGGAGCCTCGACAGGATATCGCAACGAAATCGTCTCACTGTGGTCATCGAATGCCACAATGAC